GCGGAGTTCAAAGGTTCAGTTTCTACGTGAAGACGAAAAAGATACCGTCAGGCTGGAAGAATTCAAAGAATGATCGTATTGAACGGTGAAAAGGATGATCTGAAGAACTATTGCCCAATCTGCCAGCTCTGAAATGTCTAAAGCTGTTCACCGACAGATAGCTAAGAAATCTGGACGAACAGCAGCGGAGAGAACAGGCAGGATTCTGAAGGAGCTACGGCACAACGGATAACATCTTTACCTAAGTCAGCTGCTCGAGTGCGCGACGCAATTCTACCTTTTTCTCTGCATGGCCTTCGTCGACTACGAGGAAGTGTTCGACACTGTCGAGTAAAACAGTATGTACTGGCGGAAGACATGTTGGCGGAACTAGGCATCGACATTCCTTTTATAAACCTTCGGAAGGAAGCGAATTCTGTCTGCTTCGCAAAAATCACATGTTCTACACCTCACGCCGGATTCCCGTAGAGAATCGTGTGAAACAAAGGGAACGCTGTCATCCCAAAATTCTTCATTGCCTTTTAAAAATTGGTGTTCCGGAGGATGAACTGGAAAGCTGGGATTAGCATCAGTGGTGAACAACAGCCACCTAAGGTTCGTTGATGATGTGTGTTATTTGCAGAAAATACCAGTCAGCTAGAAGACGAGACCTCGAGTGAGCCAGTACAGACGTCGTAATGCGAGTCAATTGGTAAAAAAACGAAGATATTCGATCGGGTGCCCTGCCAAAGACCCAGATATTATTTAACGGTGAAAAGATCAAATAGATCGATGAATGTATTTATTAGGGCCATGAAATCCACATGCACCATGATCAGGCTAGAGAGATTCAGCGTAGAAACCGGACCGGTTTGCGCACCTTCTGTTTATCAACAACATCCTCCTTGACAACGTCAAGAAAGAAACCCACGACAATCTCTGCAGTTCTACTGTCCTGCCAGCAGTTTTGTGATTGTGGGACATGGTCACTCACGAAAACCTAAGAGCGGCAGCTGTATGTTATCGAGGGAGCTATGGAAAGAAGATTTTTGGGAGTCTCACTTCGAGACTGCATCCCCAGTACGTCAATCAGACAGCGAAGAGGGTGACGGACGTCGTTGCCGGAAGGGGAAGCTGCGGCGGCCGGGCACGTAGTTCGACTCACCGACGGAAGATTGTCGGCGATGATCCTCGACTAGCACCCTCTCGCGGGCAGATTAAGCCACTTGGTTGCTCATCACGGCGGTGGAAAGATTATATCAGGAGCTGAAAGGGCAGCGTTTGGTTGGACTGCGAGGAATGACGGTCTTGTTGCGGCCGGGAAGATTCATCGCTGGTTATTAGCTCATGCAAGTGATACAAGTTAACTGTAGAGGTCTCACTAGTAATAATAGTAAACAAGTGACGTGTTAGCAACCTGGTTTGATAGTGCTATGTCCTCCCGTTTTCATCAGCCTTTTTCAGTCTATTGCTGGTTGAGGACCTCTCTAAGACTCCCGTGAACTTCTTTTTTCGCGGTTCATATTCGCCTTGATGCAACGTACTTTTTCAGCTCATCCCGCTATCGATCTGGAAGTCTTCCTACAGGCCGTTTATTGTCTCTCTAATACAGCAATGGTAGGCTCTTCTTGCAACATACACTGCCCATTGCCACTTTATCTTCTGTGCTCCGGCAGTGACATCACAGACTTGTTTTTGTTCTTACCGATTCATTCGTCTTCTGATCTTTTATTGTTATTCCCAACATGCGCTTTCCATGCTGCGTTGCAGAAACTGCAGTACATAAATAGCGTCCAGGCATATGGTCCACATTTCGTGCCAATAATTTGGTACTGGGAGCACACGCTAAGTACAAGGGCAGTTCCCAGAATGGTAATATTTTCAGTCCTCCAAAAGTGCACCAGGCCATTTGTATTCTTCTGTTGATTTCACAGAGTTAGTTCTCCGTTGCAGAAGTGAGCTGTCTGACATGGACCTAATTTTGCACTTCTTCGTGATTAAGTCCACTGATTTCAACAGGTCATGGGATCAGATATGTTAAACATGACGCATGACGCGAGTGTCCTTCAGGTAAATTTTCTGTCGTAATCCTATGCTGACAACTTTCAGCTCTTGGATTCTTTGTTGAAGTTCTGTTGACGCTGAGAGGATCAGCATAACATCCGCAAACCGCAGATGGTTTAATTACTGCCCGT